TCCCGTAGGACAGTTGCCTCCACAGGATTTGTGTTCGATCGGATCGGGGGCTTCTAAGATATCATTATGGAAACTCTTCTGGATAGTCCTTACCTCCCAAAGGTGGGATATTTCGGGCGTGGGTAAAGACCTCAGTTGGACTTCGGTTTGGTGTTGCCATGCCTCCAATTTGTGTTACTACTAGACCGGGTGGATATTATGTGGCCGTTTTTTTCCATTCCTCCACTTTCTGGAAGCTACCGGGCTTTCAACATTGTCCATGCCGCACAAAGGGTGGAGCAGAGGTTGTTCATTCTTTCCTCCGAAGACAGACGAGACGTCCACTCTTTTTCCTCAACAAACATGTGAGTGCGTCTTTGTTGGAGTTGGTACCTGTTTTGTTGTGGTTTTTGTTTTAAAGGGAGGCCACAAGGAGAGAACCATCATTTGTTGGGCTGCCCGACATGTTAAATTCACTACCTGAACAACCACACTTACCACAGGTGTTGCATCACGAGAGACACTTCCTGAGGTGCTTTGAGGCCATCTACCAGCTGCAGCAGCTTCGCTTCGAGGCGATGCAGGCCCTGAACACCGTACAGGCCCAGGCGCAGATTCTCGGTTTGGTTCGATGGGATCCACAGATGGGGTTCGCCAAGGTCCAGTTCTGTCCAGTTGCCAAGTGGGCAAAACCCTTGGACCTTTCAGTTCCCTTCAGAAGGCAGTTCTGCTCCGTAGTGCCCCCAAACCGCTGCCCAAGGGCTTCACGGGACCGCCACTTCTTTGGCCACAGGCATTTGTTTGGAGTAGGATGCGGAGAATCTCTGGGCCAACCCCAGATCGAAGGGAAACAACGGAATCATCTTTGGAATGTTTGATTGCGGCTTTGGTAACAGTTGGCCCAAATTGGAGAAGGCACCATGCAAAAGGTAAGGTTCTTCAGTGGCGCCTGCATTCCCATTTTATTTGGTGGGCTCCCTCCCCAGACGTTTTTCCACCCCCAAACAAGGTTTCTGATTCTACCAGGGTCACTGGGCAACCGGGCACCTGGAAGAGTGCTATACAAACGCTCAGAGTACCAACGAGGAGGGTGAGATAGGGTGAGTGTGCATAGGGTGGGCGTGTTGTTTTCGATTTGGGGCCCTTTTGTGGGTTTGGTTTGAACGTTGCCCTAAGGGTATCCTTCTGGGGTTGGTTAGCAGGGACAGCTTTGAGTATACCCTTCTCTGGGTTTGCTTATAAAGACAACTTGCCTTGGGGGCGTCCTTTTTGGGGGCGGATTCATTTTGGAATGCTCTTTAGAGGGTGCCCTTTGGGACTCCCCTCTTTAGGCATAAAGTACTGAACCAAATTGTTGTATGAGCACACCAGCATGCTTCAGGCCGAACATATAGATTATTTAGCACATTTGTTTGTTCCCCGCCAACAGAAGACCTGTTTGCTTGGTGCGAAAACACCCCAGGTACCCGCGTTAAACCTCTAGCATGATGGCCACCATAGTTTCAAATGGTTTCACATGGGTAGCTCGGTTTTCCCGCGTCCTACATTTACCATAATGCACTATGAAGCAGCTTTCCAACTTTAAAACGGTTTCCTTTGGTTTCCTTTGGTTACCTATACAGTTGGGGGAAACTTGGCGCAATTTCCCTCAGGTTTATTAGTCATGGTTTCTGCACATCAACTGCCGCACGAGGTGCTGGTCACTCCCACGGTGGGTGCCACGTACACCATTGAGGAGACGAGCCATGGACTTTGGCTGGGGGCAAAACGACCTAAGGGTCTAAAGAATGTTACACATGCCTCTAAGGAGCCACTACATAATATACATATGAGCGGTTCATATGAGGGATACTATAAGGGCTATTTCACTCAATTGAGATTTAAAGTCACACGCCCCATGGTAATTGTTGCGGCCCTTGGAGTAAACTAGATGGCGCAAAATAGATGTCAGCCACTGATAACAGTATGGTACCCGGTTGGTTTGGAGAGGACAAGCGACCGGCCGGAATGGGAACAGAGTGAGATCAGATTGTTGCAAGAGTTGACCATGTAGTGATTAAGTCAACTGTTGGTTGGCTTCCTACCCGAAGCCCCATTCACGAGTAGTTGCTAAAGTTTCCGGACTTGATATTTTTTGAGAAGACTTTTCTTGGGGGCAAGCAACAATGCAACAAGTTGGCTTGCTACTTGTTTTGGCCAATCCACTCAGGAAGTGAGTGAAAGATGATCAAACCATGTTTCGGGAAAGGGCGTTTGACCTTGGTTCCCCGCGTGTCCCTTTCTTTCCTTCCGTTTTCCCTCGGTTTCCATTGGTTTACCGCCCACCTAAACTGAGAACCGACGCAGGATGTCTTGGCCGACCCTGTGGTGCTGAACACCAATCTGGGCCGCCGCTTCGCTGAAAGGGTGTGGCTGGTGATATTTTGGAGGCTCGGCGCCCTTTTGGTAGAAACCAAAAGGAGCAACAACATGTTTGGGTTGGTTCACCTCACACGAACCAAGCCTGGTAACGCGTGTTTTTTTGGAAGGTTGACAAATATGAAACATAATCTGAAATCATGGCACCCCCTACTTTGATACATACCCATTTATATGGCTCCCCCGATTGCCCAAGCTGCAAAGCGACCAAACCGCAGGAAACCATCCTGTAGAATCCAAAGGCAAAGCACAACTGGTTAGCTACATCCTGGCAACTGGAACCACTGGGAGTGACCCAGATGTTCCTTGCATTTCTGACTCTTGCGCGCTGGACGGCAAGCGTTCTTGACATGCAGCGGTGTGCTGAGGCTACACCAACCACATGAACCTGCTTGATTTGTGTCCCGGGCTCAGACTGATTGATTCCGACCTCTTGTTCTTTTGCACACGTCCCCAGCTTCAATCCACACCCTACCCCGCCCAAGATCCAAGGTTGTGTGGATGTGAGTAATTTGACACATATTTCAAGAATTCCTCCGTGTACATTTCAGGGTAAGGCGCTTGACTTCAGATCAAGCCGGAAAGAATCCACCTGATTAGTACGTATGGTCCTGCAGGTTTACAGAGGTGACACTAGTCACCTTCAGAAAAGGCAACACTGGGTGCCAAGCCCAGGAAACCCACAGGGATAGGTCTCTTTATATTTTGTTTCGCACTCTTTCCTCTTTCCGAGGCGCCATGAACGATTATTCGTGCCCATGTGAAACGATTCCAGGCGGCATTTCGGTGCCGACCACCTTCGCAGCCGAGAAGCTGCCCTTTGGCGTCACCGTCTCGGCGGTGGCGGGCCATGATGCGCTCATTTGCGACGTGGCACAGAGGCGCCGTTTGGGCACTGGCGTGCGCTCCAGCCGTTGCTGATGGTGGCTGTGGCTTTTGGTTTGGTGGTGTTTGTTGTTGCTGCTGTTGGTGGTGTTCTTGGTGGTGGTGGTTGGTGGTTGTATGTGGCTGGCGTCCTTTTTTGCCCGGAATATCGGGCGCAAACCGTTTGTGCGGGTCTTTGCGGGCTGATTTACGGGGTTGCTGATGCACGGGTGAGCTTCAAGCCACCCTGTGATCGTATTCTACAATCTTCGGAGAGGCAGGGAACCGCCATTCGCCAAAAGGAATCTCAACTCAGGGCCCCGAGTGAATGGGTTTTATCTTGCGCAGGGAAGGAGGGGATGACCCTTAATTAGAAGCCATCCTTTGTGATTTCCGTTCAGGGAATTCCCAGGTTCATTCCATTTTTCATTCTCTGCCTATCGCAACGATCGCAAGACAATGGGTCTTGACGTCACCAGGCTCCACTCGGCCGCGGGGCTTACGGCCGCCTCCCGAGTGCCGGTTTACTGCGAGCCACGTGCTGGTGAGTCCCGTGGGGGGTGTGGCTCAAAATTGAAGTGCTGGGGTTTCGCAAATCTTGGTCTTTTCCATCCAAGGGGTGTTGTGAGCAGCCATGGGTATTTAGACAAAGCAAAAACCACTCACGTTCAGAAAAACCTGGCTGCCGATGGATTCGCTAGAATCCCTGGGTCCATTGCGTAAATTCGCTGGCCAGATCCTGCCACCGTGGTGACAGCCACCCCTCACTTGGCTTCAACATGTGTCAACACTTCCGGATTTGATGGACCATCAAGATGAATCCTCGAATTTGACGATTCGCATGTCGCTCCAAAGTTAATCGACGATTAAGTCTTGCTGAAGCTCTTGAGAAGGAAGCACTCTCAGAGTTACGAGAATTCTTGTCTGGTGTATGTGAGACGGTTTGCGCTGCATTTCAGCCATCTTTGGGGGAGGAAAAGGGGGTTGTAGCCACTTCCTAAGCTGCATGCTTTGGAGTGCAGCATGCGTGGGTTTTGCCGCTTCCTGTAGGTTTATCATTTGGGTAGCTTCTTGCCGCTTCTTGTGGGTTTTGCCGCATCCTAGCGTGTTCTTATAGGTTTATCATGTTCATGCCTGCTGCCTGGGCCATTGCTCGCTTCGAGGCTGGGGCCACGACCAGCGCAGTGCAAGACGTTGCAGCAGCCGTGGAGGCGGAAAGGGTTCTTCTGCTTTTCCCGGTGGCCCATTGGTGCCCTTTGTTTTCTTCTTCGTCTTTTTGGGGAAGGGTTCCCTTTAAACTTGAAACTCAACCAACAAAGACGCTTGTTTGAGGTTGACTACATGGGGTCCGCTATCCCAAGAAGCCGTTTTGGGCTTAGGTCAAAAGCCGAGGTAGTCTAGTGAGTCATAGCGAAGAGTTATTGGCCGTGTGTTCAGAGTTGTGTGGGGTTGCCAAACTGCAACTTGGAAGACTTTCCGCCAAAGTCATGTCAATGTGATCTGTGAAAAAAGCTCTAAACACAGAATATTATAAACGATATATTTCCAATACCCTCGAAAACAAGGTATAGCTACTATAGCAAAGGCTGCCGAATCCGCTTGAGGTTTGGGTGGGAACCATCCGAAATCCTGTACTCTGGGAAGATGTTCTAAATGGCCTCATTTGGCATTCGAAGGGGCATGGCTACTGCATATGTGACACCAATGATTTGAGTAACCCTGTCTTTGGCACACCACTTTTTCCAGGGGTCCCTGCTGTTGTGCAAAGCCAGGAAGTGCGGCGGCAAAAGTTAGCTTTCACGTTTGGCGTATGGCTGGGCAAAAAGAAGGCCTATAAAAAAAAGAAGCCGCACGAGGGTATGAGGTTGGTCCCTTGGATACGTCATGTTCCGCACCTCATGTTCAGGAATTCCCTTGCACGGTCTCATGAATCACCGCAACCTGCAAGAGTACCTTGATCCACTGGATGTGCTGCAGCATGCCATCCGGGAAAGTATCGCTGTGTTTGAGTTGTGGCCGTTGGGAAGCGCTTTATCCGCCTTCCGCCTTTCGCCAAAGCAACCGGACAAACATGCGCTGCTCAGTCAGCCTGCTTTATTTGCCTGGTTTGTGTCATCATGTATTGGCGCTAATTGGGATGTGGTTGGAAAGAGAGTAGATGGGGTTCTGACTTGCACGAAGCAGAATGGAAACCACCGGCATCGCTGAGTGTTTTGTTTTGATGGTCCCCAAACAACCCTTGACAAAACAGCTCCTGTGCTGATGCGGACTGGTTTAACACCTGTCCAACTGCTTGTGCCCCCAACCTGATTTTTCAAGATAACTCAAGATAGTTGATCCGACCTCTCCTTGGGACGGATGCCCCATATGCAGAGAAAACCACTGAGCGAAAGTTTCTCATGAACACTGGTGCTTGCGCCTTTTCAGCTGGCAGCTCCACCCATTTGTGAGGCCACGAGGGGTCTAGAGAAGAGACTTCAAAGGCAAACCCATGCCCCGACACGGGATTCAGAGCTTCCTACATGTCTCCGTTTTGGCTCTGAGCATCACCGGTGAACACGGCCACTTCAAAGTGCGTTTCCGTTCGGGGTCACTGATAGGATCCAGCCCGAATAGCCTCCCTTCCCTATGTCCTAAAACGACCCCGCTGTGTGGCTTTATCGAGCTCTGAGGAAACCATAAGTTGTGGCGTGGGTATGAGCCAGATGAGACACGGGGAGATGGAGTGGGTTGGTTGTGCAGAATCGCGGAGAGGCCTTTTGGAAAATGGCAAACGGTGATCAACGTTTTGCTCAGGCAGGATGTCCTCTTCGTTTTTTGGGCCTCCCAAGACCTCGGAACAACTGAAACATCCAGGCCACCGAGGGCAAGTACTTTGGGCCGCTGCCAGCGGGCGCGGAGTCGCTGCTCGGCTTTGCAATGGCCAGTCTCCATTCCTATCCTAGAGCGAGTTGAGGGAGGAAACGGAGGAATACCTCGTGAAGTAGAAATATAACTAATTGAATAATAGGAAGAACAAGTAACATACGGTAAAAGATAAGTAACTGGAGATATGTGGGCTTCGTTGTTACTCCCCATGGCAGGTACGGATACGTGGGTATACCAAATTATGGGCTGGTTAGGACTGTGTTGTTCTTGGTTCGGCACCCTTGTTCCTTTGGGTTGCAAAGGGAAACCAAAGGGACACCCCGATTTGTTTGTTTTTGGGAGACCTAGTTTTGAGACTTGTCGACCGTGTCTAGAGATCTCTGGCTTCGGGAATTTCACGTGCAGATCTTTGGACTCATCATGTCAATATTCCGCGTCATGCATTCTGACCCTTTGTCATATTTGGGACATTTGAGTTATTGAACATTTTGTATGATTCCCTGGAGTAATCACCATTCTCCCAAAAACACCCAATAAAGATGTTGCTCCAGCTTGATAAAGGACACATGTTGCTTGGCAAGCTACAGGCTTGGATGGATGTTCAAGCTTTGATTGAGTGTCACTGTTGAGAGGCGCGTTTTTGCCAGGAAGCTTCGTTTGCGCCGAAAGGGGCACCGGACAAATCCACTTGTAAAAAGCCGGGCTGCAACAGGGGTTGCAAGACTGCCCTCTGGGTGTCTCTAATCGTGCACGCCTCCTATTTGTGGGGTTGATCAGCTTTGCACTTTGGCCTCAAATTTGTAGTATGTTGTTTTAGAGTGTGGGACGCTGCAGTAGGGGACGTTGTGGAGGCCTGCGTTCTTCAGTGATTTTTGTGTGCTGTCAGCAAAATCAATGATTTGTCATGTAGTACAAAGCATTTCTACATTCCATTGTTTCCTTTTTCTCTGTGAACATAATGTCCTTTTAGGTTTACCATAAGAGATCTGATCAGAAAAGGTGTCGATGACCTGTGGAGGGTCCAAGTATGATAGATAATTAGTTTACATCATCCCATGTCAGCTATTTCATGCCACCAGTTTGCATAGAAGCTAGAGGGCCACTTGCAGGTGGCCTGCCTCACCTCCATCTAGTCGCACTGTGACTAGTAATCTGTCTGTAATTGATTCAGAATTGCAAGGGGGATAATCCCCTCATTTCCAGGCCGAAGCGAGAACAGGTTGGTAGCCTGCGATAAGTGCATTTTGTTCGCAGGGAAGTGGGGCAAGGAGTCTCATTACCACAACTTGCACAGGCCTTCATTCCACCAACCCTTTGTGAGCTGCAGGCGTGCCAAGTGGAAATGGAAGATATTGGTTCCAGCAAACAAGATCCGACCAGCCACCACGCTTGCAGCCGAAGAAGCTGGACAGCACGATACTTCAAGACGTGAAGGCAAGCAAGTACCTCGGGAAGATTTTCCAGTACTAGAAGGATAGAGCATAAGAGCCAGGATGAGTTCAGCTAGGCTCTTGCTGCTCGACAAGATTCTGGCAAGAGAGGGAGTTGACTACGACGCAATTGCCGCAGCGGGCCAGCGGCCGCGCAAGCGCGACTATAAACTTTAGAGGTCTTGGGCTCAAAGCGCTCACGCATTAAGTCTGGAGATGCCAGCGCTTTACGCGGCAACAGTCGTGTGCTGGACATAGCCATCGCGCAGACGGTGAGACGACTCCCTGATGCTGAAGACGAAGGAAAGCCCTTTGACCAAAAACCTGGACACCTTCACGCTATTCAATTTCGAGGCCAAGATGCTAGTGAGCGACGGCAGCATCTTCTATGCAGGAAACTTTTTGGTGGTTGCGGAAGGGCGCGTCAGATTGGTCCCGGACCCTTCGAAGACTCTGATCAAGCTCGGGCGAACGGACATGTATTGTGAGGATCACGTCCGCGAGCCCTACATCTCGTTCGCAGACAACAATCAACAGCCACGTGAGACGACTTGTGGCGATCCGTTGCAGGAAGACAGTGCCGAACATCCGCTGCATGTTGTTGATTGTGAACTTTTGGCTCACTTGGCGCGGAACAGGGAAACGTTCACGGCGCTGATAGAGAGGAAATTCGCCGTAGGCGATTGCCGCAGGTTCTGTGCCACCAACTCAAACCTAGCCGCGTGCTTTGGCAAACGCGCCGCGCACCTCCACATTGTGGAGCAACATCGCCCGCAAACTCCTTCATACGGCCGTCGGGTTGCCAGCCTGATGCCAGGACAAGGCTTTGTAGGTGAGCTGGTGGGCTGCGTGCGAATGGGTCGACATCCTGAAATGTAAGTCAAATAGATACCTTTGCAGATGGGACACATCCGGACGAGGTTTGCTATATTTTCCCTCAAGACATCACGCCTAGCGGAAAGTGGCCAGAAATGGGCCAAGCAGCTCGTTTACAGACACCGTCGCTCTGGCCGCACTACGCTCTTTGTGAAACCTCTTGTATCAGGATGGAAATCATGTCATGCGAGTGTCTGCAACCAAGGTGGGTTGGTCCCCGATGACGACAAGGCAACCTGCTTTGTTTCGTAGCGCAAGAGTGACATCCTCATGAAATGTGAACAACGAGTTTCTCCGAAGGCCTGGTCTTGCCTGAAAGAGACCAAGAGCCCAGAGGTTCCGAAGGCACATAGATTTTTGTCAAAGCGAATCATACGCTTATGTGTGGTGGATTTTATGACTTTCACCGCTTATCATGCTCAGGCAATGTGAAGAGTGGTCTATCACCGGTGCCTAAGTTAAGCGGGATATCAGATGCGCAATTGAGAAACAGCTCAATCCAGGACACGCCCCACTCGTCCTTTTGATCGGCAGGTCCCCATCGCAATTAGAGACCCATGATACAGTCTCAGCATGCATGTGGTTCCCCAGTAAGTGTCATTGCGACAACGTTCATCCAATTCACGAAGATTCCGCGCATGCCAAGTGTTGTGAAAAGACGAGCGCAACGAGCGCAACGACAAGGGCAAGGGCAAAGACGAGGGCAAAGACAAGGGCAAAGACAAGAGCAAAGGCAAGAGCAAAGACGAGGGCAACGACAAGGGCTATGGCAAGCTGGGCAAGGACAAGGGCAAAGATGATCGGGGCAAAGACACGGGCTATGGCAAGGGCATCGGCAAAGAGGAGGGCAAAGACAAGAGCAAAGACGGGGGCAAAGACAAGGGCAAAGACAAGGGCAAGGACAAGAACAAAGACGGGGGCAAAGACAAGGGCAAGGACAACGAGGGCAAAGCCAAGGGCAAGCACGTGCCTGTGGTGGTGCCACCGAGGGCTCGTGTGCTTAGGGCCACATGCAAGGTTGCACGCTGTCCCGCATACAAGGCCATGCCAAAACGTCCGGCGTTCAAGGCCATGCCGAAGCCACCACCTGCAATGCCAGCCCCACCTGTAGTGCCAGCCCCACCTGCAGCGCCAGCCCCACCTCAAGTGATCTTGATCGATGATCCTGAGCCGCCAGTTCCCAAGAAGGACGACACGGAGCTCAACCTTGGGGAGGATGCGGGTGAATCCCCGAGGACATCAGATGCGACGCCGCTCTCCACATCAGAGTCTGACTATGTCCCGACAGACCGGGCATCCGATCTGGATAGCGAACCCGGCTTCTACGTAGACTACTTTTGATCTTCTCGTGCTCACGAGGAGGGAACACTGCTGCCAAGTCAAGTTTGTCAGCTGGGTTATTTTGAGCCGGTTCCTCTTTTTCAGTTAGCTCACTCGGTTGTAAATGTAAATGCGGTATTCTCCTAGAATTGTAAAGCTTATTTTGCCGTTTTTTTCCGATCGCAAGTTTGCAGAATGCAGTGTGATAGTTTTGCCCACAACGCCTTGGTTGAGGGAGTTCCGTGTCGGGTTTGCAGCAATATCTGCCGCGTCATTGCCAATGCGCGTCCACTTCGCACTTCTCGGGGTTAATCCTATGGGAGGCCTAGAGCGCGATGCATGAAACTGGTTTATTATTCTGGCAGTACAAAAACGTCACCCACGTGGTAGGCCACACCCCGATTCCATGTTCTGACTTTAACCTCTGATTTTTGTTCAAACTGATCCCAGTGAGACCTCCGTTGGCGATTTTAGGCCTGGTTTAGTGGGGGAAGACAATGCCACGTACTTGTTTAAGCATGTTGGCAGAACGAAAAACCATTGGGTGCAACGGGCGCTGCTCAAGTGAAAGACACGACTGACGGTCTCCGACCCCGCATAGGGTTGTGGAGTCAGGGGACCCCTTTTTGGGTATGTTGGATGCACAACCGGAAACGTTCACATTGCTACGTGCACAGGTTTCAAGAGCGAGGGTGTTCAAAATCCCCAATTCTGTGCGCTCCCTGGTCGCCGATTCGCCTGAGGTTTGAAGTCGCAGTTTGCGGTGCGCACATGGAAGGACGGAATATGAGGATTGAGGAAGCACTGAGAGGTTGAGCCATGTTGAATGCGCCGGGAAATGTCACGGCTTCCAGGATTTGGCTTACATAACCAGGATGTCTGGCCTCTAGGTGTCACATAATGGGTTTTCCCTTCCTGCTTGCAATAAGGAGAACTGGAAGTGAACATGTTTTAACAGGGGACCCCAGCCAAGTTTCTTCTGTTCCCTGTTGCCGTTTAACAGGGTGTCCCCAGTTGTGAGAATGTCACACAGTCCCACATTTGACCTAACATTACCCATAGCGGGCATTACAAGAGAAGCGGCTGGCAGCGATCCGAGTGTCAAGAGGGCCCTTTGCAAGGTGCAAATGAGTCACAGCGGCATGGCTATCGTTCCCAGAGTGAGGCAGGAAGCAGCCTTGTTGTGACTGATTTGTACTGTCAATGGTTCAGCACACTAGCTGTTTGTCTCATGGGGGAAGCAGCGGAACACACTTTCGTTGAGTCAGCTTTGGATTTGGGCTGTCCTGTTGGCTCGTCCAGTGGTTCAGCTTGTGGCCTTAGACGGTTCCTGCCACTGGTTGTTTTCTCACGTTTCCAGTTCCTAGTTTAAGAAGGCCATGTTCAAAAGTAATAAACAAGTTGCTCAATGTTCAGGCTTGTTGGGCCACTCCAGTCAGTATATGTATTTTCGAGTTTTCATTCGGGTGTGTGTTGTTGATTAGCCCCTTTTGAAAGTTTCATTGGACACCGGAAGAACAACCCCTTTTTTGGGGTTCCCCCTCTGTATAGTTTGACGAACTACCCATCAGCAACATGGAGCTACACGAATTGAACCCCCAATTGTGGATTTCCCACCGATTGTCTGGTTGAAATCTCCAAGTGTGCTACGGTGGATGCCCCACAAACATTGCCCTTAAACCAGCGAAACTCTGGAAGCCGCAAAAACATATACCCGGCTTTGGGGGTCTGTGTTTCACTTTCTTTCGGCATGTCCACCTTGGATGCGTTAAAACGGCGTGTCACTCTAGGGGTAACTTCCCCATTCTTGCCAGGGATCCTTCTTTCTAGAAGACCACCCAAAACCCTTGGGAAATGGCTGGCTTTTGAAAAGAACGATGGCCGAAAAGAATGGTTGGAATCAACCCCTAGAGTCACGCACGTCCGCGACCAGAGACGAGATCGCAGGACTGGCCTTGAGCTGGCAGCTCACTGAGCGGGGCGGCCGCTTCATGCGCACTGCGCGGACCTCTCCCAGGCGGTGGATGCGAGCGGATTCGAGCGGTGGAAACGGAGGATTCCATCCGCATGAAGCTCCTTGATCCATGATGTGCGTTGTTTTTTTGACGGAGTTGTAGACAGAGTTGTGTTTAATCCCTTCCCCCTAATAATAAACGACGCCCCCCCCCCCCCCTCCCTAATAAAAAAAATACCCGGCCTGCAAAACATTTTTTATTATTAGGGGTCCCCTGGTTCTGGAGGGCAGGTTTTGGAGGGCAGGTTCTCAAAGGAAACGTACTCCCGGAGCTCTGGCTCGAAAGTCGCAACTTTGTAGTACAACCGTAGTATAGGAAACGTGCTCCCGGAGCTCTGGCTCGAAAGTCGCAACTTTGTAGTACAGCCGTAGTAAAGGAAACGTGCCCCCGGGGTCCCCCTAATGGGGCTGGATTTGAGTACGGGCAGGAAAATATCTACTTTAGAATTGGTGTAGTATTGGCTATTCTAAAAGTAGTATTCCCGGATTTGGGACTTCCGAAACAAATATTTATTATTAGGGAGACCTTTATTAATAGGGGGAACGGATTACAAGTGTGGTTCACGAAATGAATATGTGCTCAAATCAGTGGGCACGGGCAAAGGCTTTTGACTGTCCTTTCAAAACGATTCCCTCAAGAAAAAGATACACACACACACACACACCCCACACAAATCTATAGAATCCCTACCAAAAAGGGTGCCTGACTCATGATTTTGCCCCGTCTCCAACAATCATGGAAGCTGACAGGAGGGTTTTTGGACGACATTTTTCCCTGGCCACTTCCCTGATTGGAAGGATGGTCTTAGGGCTTGGCAAAGAAAAACCTTCAACGCCAGGTACCGCCTAGTGGCCTTTGACGGCATGAGCCCCCCGCGACCGGGGCTGGTGGACGATGCCAAGGGCGTGCCTCGGCGTTTGATGTTTTTTCAGCGCGCAGCGCAGGCGTCGCCGGCTTTTTGGCGGTGAGTTTCAGAGAGAATCAATCAGGAATCACCCAAACATTGTCCACCAAAGGGTCCCCAATCCAAAATCAACCCAAGAATATATGATATGTGTGTAACGATTTAGGTTAGCCCATAGCCCCAGGAAGGTGTTTCGTTGTGCTGATGGCGTTTGCTACCATGTTGGATGTGTGTCTCTGTGTGTGTGTGTGTCTTTGTTGAGACCTTTTTTTGGGGGAGGGGGGGGGGGTTGGTTTAGATATGTGAAAGTTAGTAGGGGGCAGTCCCAGCAATGAATACTTCCCACCCCCTTGTGGTTCGGATGTTTAGACCTTTTTGACACCATATTTGGTTTGTGATTCAACAACTGTCCGCTGATGTGAGTCCTTCCGTTGAGGGAGGTCCGCGGGACCTGAAGTTGATCGAAGCGGTCGATCCAGTTGCAAGCGGTGCGGCAAATGTTGGCTGAATTGACGACGGGAGAGTGAGGGCCTGGATTTGGGGTGCAAGCATTTGCGCTTGAGTGGCTAGCATTTGCGCTCGTGGCTTGCGTCTTGGAGGCCCGGACTTGGGGCATGGGGCGCGTTGGCGCGCCAACAAATGTCGTGTTTGAACTGCCGCTGGCATGTTATGTTGCATAGCATGAAGAGCAAAATGGTGCAATCGACGCGCGGAGCCGCTCAGCGTGGCTCCCAGAACGTCGCGGCAAGCTTTAGCTTCAGACTGCCTCTGTGATTGACCGACTCAGTGCTTTCGCATTTTGAGTTGGGGGCGTTTGGCAGCACTGGCAACGTGGCGCCGCAATTCTCCAGCCCTTACGCTGACCTTGAGTTCAATGATGCGGTCCTGGTCTAGCCTGAGCGCTTTCCGTAGGCTCAGGGCTTGTGCAGCTTGTGCAGCGTTTGAAAACACGTCGCAGCCTGTTGGCGACAGTCTTCGTCTAGCATTGGATTCAGTGTGTGGCTTCGCATCAAGGTAGCTCTCAAAGTAGCATGCAGGCATTGAATGATATGCATTCCAGTTTGCTTTGGCAGCTTCCCTGTGGCAAAACTCACAGCTGGCGATGTTTATTATAACGCATGCCTTTTGGTGCAGCTCAGCTTTCTGATTGCGGCTGCTTGCTGGGTTGTTCTGGCAGTGAGCAAGCTGTTAAGTCAGTGCATTTTCCAGCTCTAATGCTGTGAAGGCTGGTGAGGGTTGGGCTTTGATTCACGGATGCAGTTTTGGTCTACCATTTGCTTCAGTGTCAGTGGCTAGTTTCGCATCGAGGTAGCTCGGAAGAGGTTGTTTGGAATGGGCTTCGTTCAGCGTGGCAGGCGGAGGTTAGATTGCATCATGAGGAGCATCATGTTGCCTTGACTTGAGCAAAGCACGGAGCGGTTGGACCTGCTCTCAAGGCATCTAGGTTGCTTGAAACAGGTTGCGCTTTTGGCTGGCTTGAAGAGAGAGGGCGCAGGCGCTGCTTGAATGGCAGTGATCTGCAAAGACCTTGCCATCGACAAGTGGTGTTGAAGCCAATCACCTGCCTGTGCCCGAAGCTGTGTGAAGTTCCACTCACCCCAGCACTCGCCCAGCTCAACCGTGCACCTTGCACAACGCTGCTTGGAGTATCTTGGGGTGACGGTTGTGTTGGCTGGCAGGAACACGTGGCAATATAATAAATGGCATGGTGGAGGGTGCCCCAGTGAGCTTTGTATGATTGACTTTGCGTCTGGTTCAGGGCAAAGCGTAATTGGAGTCAGCACAGAAGCCTTGGCAAACACTTCTCAGCACCAGAACCCTTCGGAGAAACCTCTTAGAAGGCGTTGAGAGCGTCTCTATGCATTTCGCAGCAGGGTTTGCCTTCGCAGAAATCTTACGAGACGCAACCAGTGCACCGTCTCCTTTTGTTTTGCCCTCTAGCAACCGGTTTGGCCACCCTTCCCTTCTCCGAGCAGCCAAGCCGGGGGGGGCGGGGGGGGCTGGCAAAATGGCAGGCTCCAACAAGTGGGCATTTCGTGCATGTTGCCTGCTTGGAACGATTCAAGGTATGACAGCATGACAACACCCATGTCAAGCTATTCCTTGCCACTATGACCTTCTGCAAAGCGACTGGGTGCTTCCAAGATTGTAGCAAGCTGTTCCTCGAAGTGCTGCAGAACCAGCCTGACCAGCTTGAAGGCGGCAGCGGATTGAAGCCTTATGCTCGAACGTCGCTGACAACGCAGAGAAGCGTGCTGAGTCATGACCGGCCCGTGTCGGGGTTCAACTCAATGACACAATCTGAATTAGTCTCGCATCTAGCTCGCAATGGCTCGCGAGTCGGATATGTCGCTTGCGGGAGGAGTTCTAGATGGCACAAGGGCATAGTTTAAACAAAGCGACTGACCGTGTTGAGCGTCGCTTGCCTATTTCTCTGTTGGAGCCCGATTTATCTTGCCTGCTCGGATGTGAGTAATTTGTGAGTTCACCCTTTCCGCTACTGATGTTGCCAGAGCCGCTGGCACAGTTGGCTTCCGACTTGGCTTGAGAGCCATGCTCATGCAGCGGGACGTGTCTCATGGTACACACGTGTGTGCCCAAGGCTTGCCCATGGTACCCGCCATCAGCGGGGAAAGGGCCAAATCTGGGGCGCCGCGAAGGCCAGCCAGGCGGAGACAGCTGCATGGGCTTGCCTGCAGAATTCGCCTGGCGTTGCCATCAGCGTACAAACTCAGATTGATTTCAAAGCCTCACTGAGAATGTGCCACTTTCGACCCTGGAATGCGCCGCGGCAACTGCGACTTTCCAGCCCTCACGCTTTCGAAGCACGTTGGGGTTCAACTTAAAGATGCTCCCTGGCACGCCCCCATGACAGTTGAGGCATATACATACAGTTTGATGCAAGGGGTACTCGCACACTACGACCGCGCGGTGTGAACTCTGCAGAACCCTGGCTCATCTCGCCCCGAAACGTGTGGGTTCGTGGAACCCCTCCGCTAAATTTCGCTGATCAGAAACCATTTCGCGTACCCCGTTCACAGAGACCCTTCTTCTTGCTTGGGTTTGCGAAAGGGTGTGCGTGTATCGGCGTGTAGGCTGACCCCCGCCATGTTGATCACAACTTTGCATTCGGAGAGTGGGCGTCGCAAGGCCACACTCACGTTTGGTCTTCTGCGCACGGCTTGCGCGCCGTCGGTTTTCCATGCAAAACATCCAATCTCGCCAGCTGTTTTGCTCCTGGGAGCGGCCAGGGGCATTTCTCGCATAGCCCGGTGCTGTCAGAGACACAAGCGGCGAACGTGAGGGTAAGAACTCGTGAGAGAAAGGCGCAGATGCGTGCTTTTTGATCCCTTGGTTTGACAATCAACTCGTGGGACCCCAAACGCGGTTGTGCGGGTGCAAAAGATGCGACACCAATCGCAAGGACTGGGGCTTGGCCGATGCTCGATCTGACAAAGCTATGAACTCGATGGCCGATGGACAGAAACATGAACAATTACACGTTGCAATTTGCGCTGCTCCCCGGATGTTTCCTGGGCCAGGCTTGGTTTGGACAGGGGCAGGTGAAGCGATGAATGTGATCATGGTTGGAGTAGGCAGGCAAGGCTTCCACTTTAGGATTGGAAAGCGGGATGTTCAAGGAATAGCCTGAGTCAAATCGGGGTCATTCCCTCACTCCCTCACAATGGATTGGAGTTCACTCGCAAGTTACTGGTACCTGGCAATGACAAGCATGATTTCACAACCATCTAAGAGATTCAGCCCAGTTTTGAGACACACCTCGCCCCGTTTTTGTTGTCACGAGACAGCACGCGCGGGGCGTAAATCCGCTCTCTTCCCAAGGCCGGCATCGATCTTGAGATCTGGGAGCTGGGGCGGGCGAAATGTCGAGTCGGGGCATTGCATGCTCACTGAGTTCACTCGTACCGCTTTGCTCAGTTCTGAAGGTCAGGATGTTCTCGATTGTGGGACAGACGACAATCAATTTTTATTGATTGCTCATATTGCTCTCATGATGTAGCCCTACCTCATTTCACTATGTGCGTTTTAGAGTACTTAGAGTCGGGGGCTTTGAGGTTTGGCAGTGCACTCATGACGTCCCTATGCACATCTTGCTTCAGGGCAGGCAGACGGCACCACTCAGGGCGAATAAGGTGCTTTCGGATTAGGGACCCACCGAGATGGGAGTTTGGTGTGGGATTCATGGATGACCTAGGGAAGATCAGACTGTAAAGCTCTAAATGACCCAGGAAACATCAGGCACGGGACGGCCATGTCCTGGTGTTGTTTCATATCATTCCAACTCATTCCCTGCTTCTCCTCACTTTCTCAGCTCGACTTCAAACACTTTTCGGGTTTGGACCATTTTTGTGGTAGGTCCCCAGCACTGCCCTTTTACCGTTTTTTTGGGGAGGGTTCCCCTACTAAAATAGACTACAGAAAAAAGGGTGCCGGCATTCTAACCTTTCTAGCGGAGGACCTAGGTGGCAAACAACGAGCCCCCGGACCTTTTCTCGGCCAATCCACTCATCCCCTGCGAGCGTCGAACCCTTGGAACCACAGCCGCGGCGAACCTCGGGGGTCGATTCGCTAGGAGATGCCAGCGGCCTCCTTCGGCAGCTTCATGAAGCCCCGGGGCCGCAGTGGGTCCTTTGGTGGGGAAACACGAGAGTTGCTTTGTTTGCCTTTTGTCATATTATGTATATATATATATATATGGGTTTGTCTTTTTTTGTTGTGTTGAGACGCTTCAAAAGGCAGAAGGTGGGACCTTGGCGAATCATATGCCCGAATAATACCCCCGAATCATACCCCTGCAAAACGTATTCTGCAAGATGCTACTTTTCTTCTACAGTTTGTGTAACAACCACCATCAGCGCTACCTCCTACTAATACTGCTGCCACTACTACTACTACTACATACTACTACTACTACTACTACTACTACTACTACTACTACTACTACTACTACTACTACTACTACTACTACTACTACTACTACTACTACTACTCCTCCTACTCCTACTCCTACTCCTACTCCTACTCCTACTCCTACTCCTACTCCTACTCCTACTCCTACTCCTACTCCTACTCCTACTCCTACTCCTACTCCTACTCCTACTCCTGCTACTGCTACTGCTACTGCTACTGCTACTGCTACTGCTACTGGCTACTGCTGCTGCTACTGCTACTGCTACTGGCTACCGCTACCGCTACTGCTACTGCTACTGCTACTGCTAGTCCTACTACTACTGCTACTACTGGTACTGCTCCTACGCATGGGTGGGCGCGAATCTCAGAACAGGAAAACCAACCACCAAATCGTCAATCAACAACGCGGGTTGCGAGGCGCACGCATGCAACGCATGCATTTTTTTTCCTTGCGCATTGCTTGGGCTAAGGTAAGCTGAGCAGAGTTTTCTAGTTTTGGCAGGCAATCTGAACCATTACCTGAACGATACCTAAACGATACCCGGAAAACACAAAAATACCACCAGACCACCGCGTAGCCCTCACAGTTACCACATTTGGCTGTTCCCACTCTCAAGCGGCCTCCTCCCCTCTCCTCCTCCACCCTCCCTCCCTCTCCGCTCCTCCCCCTGCTTCTCTCCTTCCTTCCTTCCTTCCTTCCTTCCTTCCTTCCTTCCTTCCTGCCTGCCTGCCTGCCTGCCTGCCTGCCTGCCTGCCTGCCTGCCTTCCTTCCTTCCTTCCTTCCTTCCTTCCTTCCTTCCTTCCTTCCTTCCTTCCTTCCTTCCTTCCTTCCTTCCTTCCTTCCTTCCTTCCTGCCTTCCTCTTCCGCCTTCCTTCATGCTTTCTTTCCTTCGTTCCTCCTTGCCTGTCTTGCTTTTCTCCTCCTCTTCCTCCTTTCCATTTCTCCTTTGTAATTCCTCCCTGTCTTTCCCCTCTGCTTTCCTTCCTTTCTTCACTTTCCTACTTCCCTTTAACTCTTCTTCCCTTTGTTTCATTTTCCCTTCTTGCCTTTCCCTTTATTCCTTCCTTCCCTTCCCTGCTTCCCTTCTCAGCCTCTCTTTCTGCTCCTCTTCTTGTATTTTCCGCAATACTTGCAGAGTGAGAAGTGTCAGAAAACACAAAACACTGGAAACCGATAGGGGGCTCTCAAACTAAGTAGCGAAACGGCCGCAAGCAAGTAATTTCGATCGTGCCTCATGTACTTAATTGGGTCTGTCTTCATTTGAGGGTACCCCTTTTGGTGGTTTTACAGGGGAACCGAAAGGAACAGAGTCATATTGGGGGTCCACAACAAAAGGACAAACCCATGCATGTATGTACCAATAGATATATATATATATGTATATATTCATGTTTTCCATGGAAACTTCAGGGTCCAAGGAGCAGTGAGACATCTATTTCTGACGACTTGAAGGATTGATCTTGCCAGATGAACCACCCCGAGCTTTCAAGGAACCCCACAACCAGGCGTGCCTGAAGGTTCTCCTGTTTTTTTTGGTTGGGGGGTGCTGGTGGGCGCATTGCTTTTCTTGGTTTTTGTTGGGCATTGAGCCTTGGCCTCAGAATGGAGCTGACGTAGCTGCAACACGCACACACACACTCACGATACCTGGATTCCCTTAGACATGTGTTCTTACCCAACAAATATGGGGTGAAATTCCGTTTGAGGGCGGAACGGACTGACCCTTGGAGCGAGTACTCGATCGCTTGACCCGCGCTGAGGCTAGTGGCCTCTCCCTTGGGCATCGGCTGGATCGAGCTTGAGGCGCTCTGATCGAACCACGCTTGCCCGGGGAGGTTGAAGCTCGCGATTTGATGGGTTTCGCGGGATTCCACCCAGGGTCAAAGCAAGCGAATAATTAGGCCCTTGGAAGCTTGGGGATCCCTTTTTGATTGAGTTTTGCAATCGTCAGATCTACGTCACAAGCTAAGGCTCTTCAGCAAAAGAGCTGATAGGCCAGCAAGCAACTGGTGTGATGGCAGTTTCTCAATTGACCGGCAAATGAAGGCTTAAATATGAACTTCGGCTTCCACTACCTACTTCGGTGATAAATCCTAGAGCTTCGCCATCACCAGCTGCGCTGGTTGGCTGCAGGGATTGCTCATCCAACCACTCCCACTCAACACGCGCCCACCCCCTTCCCACCCTTCCCACCCTTCTCACCCTTCCTACCCATCCCACCCGTCCACCCACCCACCCACCCACCCACCCAGCCACCCACCCACCCACCCACCCACCCACCCACCCACCCACCCACCCACCCACCCACCCACCCACCCACCCACCCACCCACCCACCCACCCACCCACCTACCTACCTACCTACCCTAGCATGCACCTGCGCACGTGTGGGCGCGACCACGTGAGTGCATGCAGATGTGTTGATTGCATGTTTGCGTGCGTGCGTGCTCGCACCGCACGGGGCGCACACCCAAAGCCAATCAGACGAAGACTGCGTCCTCGGCACCCCCCGAACAGGAACCAGGAAGAAAAGCGGTATTTGCGCCGTTTTCCGCACAGAAGCGGCGGCCCGCTTTCGCAGAAACTCCGCTCACTTGATCGCAACCACGCCCGTTATGTCCGCCCACCGCCAAAACCTACTGTCAGGGGGTCATTTTTAGAGGATTGGCGACGCAGGGGATGCAAGGGATGCAAGGGAGCGGCCTTCTGCTTTCATTGGCGAAAGTTCCAGATTCCAGTGCTCAATAATTATAGCTGAAGTAGATTGTTGCAAGCGCTTATTGATGTAGCATGCTGTCGCTTTCTAGTTAGACCACTTTCAGATTGCATGGATGGCTATCTACAACGTATGATCCTGCAGTGCGTCCAGGACATTGATACTTTGTAATGTCACTGGAGTCGGATCCATGGCTGCTTCTCGCTAAGTTGTTCAACTTATGACGCAGTTGATTCTCTTGCGCAAAGTGATCAAACATCAGTTAAAGGCCGCCATAAAACCGACGCATGCGGTTTGGTATTCCGCCTCGTGTCGCCGTAAACCCTGATCCCTAAACGTTTGGTTACTTCCTCTGGCAACTGGAAGCACTGGGGATGGCCTTCCAGGATGGGAGCCGAGTGCAGGGCTTCCGCCAGGTGGGTTCGTTCGAGCTTCCGTCGGGTGGTTACGTGAGGGACCCCATGCAATTTCTGGATCCGTCGGGAAACCTGGGAATCCCTAAAACCACAAGGCATGGTTCATGGCTCATTCCCCTCATTCGCCGGTTCTCGAACCATCTGGGAAGAATCATAACGGGATGTTCATTTTGTTTCGTCGCCTGCAGATTTGCTTTAGGAAAAGGCCAGCGGATCCCAGGCTGGGCAAATTGCTGCCAAGGGAGTTCCTTTCGCCATGGTCACATGATTATGGTCAGACCATATGTGACAAGGAAGCAATTCGCAGGCAAGTTATGCTCGTTCGAAGATGTCCGTTTGGAGAATATTGGCCAACGAGTAAAGCGAGACTGAAAACAGTGTCCATTACTGCTCAAGTAGATTGATCTGAAAGGGACACCTATGAGTACATAGTATGTATGCCAAGCATGTTCCTTGCCATGCTTTGCTGTTCCAAGCGAGTGACATGGATAACACTTCCAAATTTATCACCGCTGCATTTGATATGTGATATTTAGGCTCAGTCAAATCCACTGTGTGCCTGTCTTTAAAGTGAGGATCCCCTATCGTGGATGTGTTCTCTTTGGTTTCCTGTTGCAACCCTATATCATGTACCCTCAAAACAAGCAAGCCCTTTGGGAGACTTCACGATTCGCAACAGGGTAGCTGCGCGAGAAGATAATCAGCGGGCGAAAGGGGCGAGAGCCTGGGACACACGTCGAACTGCGTCAAGTTTTGGGTGCTGATGAGGCCCCTGAATCGCTTTTGCTGGAATGGTCTCTCAGGACTTTGGAAGTAAAAGTGACTTCCATCATGTGGTGTGTGTGTGTGTGTGTGCGCCTGTTTTCAGGGTAGCTGTCATGTTCTTCAACCAGGTCCCCCAGTAGTGCCCTTCTACCCTTTTTTGGGGGAGGGTTACCCTACTAATAGACTGCAGAAAAAAAGTGGGTACCCGTATTCCAACCTCTCACCTAGTCAAAGTGGAGACCCACCGGAAAGCGCCACATGCCGCGCCGGGCGTCCGATTTGCCCGAGCCACGGAGGTGGACCACGGCGCCAATCGCCGGGGCCTGGTGGGCGTGGGTGGCGATGCCCCCGTGGACATCACCGAGCTCGGGTCCTGGAGGCGAGCGAACCGGGCGACACCTGCGAGACGTGGGAGGTGTCTTTCGTCCGAACGTTTTTGGGGGTGAGCGCTGCTTAGGGATTGTTGCTGGTTTTGTTGGCGCTTGATGATGTTTTGTCGCAGACAGCAAGAGGAAAACCCAAACCTTGGTGTTTGTCCTTTTTGGTTTTCCTTCGGCCAAAGACGAGGGCGGAGTCCCCACATTGCACGGTCCCGCTTGCACAATCCACGACAGAGTGCCAAATTTGATGGGCGGCTGTTCTGTTTTACCCAGCGCCGAGCTGAGTCAGGGACGATTGGGCAAAGAAAATGAATCCACCTCTCAAAGGGGTCGGCGTGTGGATTTGACTCGGCAAACAGATCAACCATTATTTTATTTTGCGGGGGGGTGAGTTTGACCGTGGCAGGAACTATCTCAAGAAGTGACCTGAGTCTGAAAGGGCTCGGATGCTCGGCCGACCGGCCTTATGGAAGGGGCCTAAAACGGCCTCGAAAACACCAGGCTTTGCCGTTTGACCCCTGCCTGGTGTGTCTTTCCTGAAGTGGACACCCTCTAGGGGTGCCAGTATTGTCTTAGGGGGTCAAGAGGCAAATCCAGACGCCAATTTTCGATCTCATTTTTTTGTGCCAAGCTGAGAGCAAACTAGGCATGCGGTGGAAAACTGAGCTTTCAAAGCCCGCCATGCGCATCTTTATGCCAGAGCCGCGATAGGCGGATACCTAGAAATGTCCTTTTGGCATTTGTTTGCGGCTTGACGTGACTTTCAGATGTTTGCAGTAGCTCTTGCATGGACTGATTGTGCTAGACTCGGCGCAAGCACTTTGTTAGATGGGCATCCTGTCTAGTAAGCTTCTGGCACGGCCCTTCGCTGGATTGCGGCTTGGCTCAGGAGAAGCGATGCTTCGAGCGGTGCAAGGTGTCAGAGAGAAAAACCAGCACGAGCACAAACTACACTCACTCTCAGATTGAGGCTCCAAATTTCCAGCGTCAGAACCAGCCCGAACCAGGCGCTGGACAGTCCGACAACATTTCGAGCTGAGTCGCTGTGACTCCTTAGCCATCGTGATATCATGTTTGCCACGGAACCTTGTTTGGTCCAGTTGAATCTCTGCCGAAGGGGGAGTGTAGATTTGCATTGAGGGCATCCATGTCAAACTCAGCCCATGGGCTGGTGGATTCTATCGAAGAGATTGCCATTTGGACCATGCAAGAGACAGCTTCCACCGTGGGCCCGGCTTTCCAGTCGAGAAAGTGAAGAGCGTAGTCTTAGCCAGATGCGGCAAATTAGATCTTTGCCATTGGCCCTTTGAACTCCAGGCTTTTGAGTGTTATTGGGTAGACCCCTTTGAATTTCACGTTTGAGTGTGATAGTCCCAATGCTTCCAGTTGCAATATGTTGTAGGCAGGGCTTCTTACTTCTACAGGCATGTTTTATTTCCTGGTTACCTACTGTGCTTGGAAGCAATGGTTGCCCCAGCAGGCCGGGACCGTTTCTGGGGGTTACGCAAATCAGAAACTGGTTGGTGGTTTCCCTTTCACCCACCATTTTGGGGGGGTGACTTGGTCTCCTTTGGAGCCAATGGGCTGGAAGGCACAGATCTAAGGTTTGATTCCCCGTTCTCTTCACCCATCGTTCTCTTTAGACACCACCTATTTTCCAGGGGTTTGGCCCGTTTTTGGAAGAAGCATCCCTGAAGAGAATGGGCAGGGTGGAGCTAGAACAGATACACCTCGCCAGGCCATGGCAAGCCGATATCTTCTGCTGGCCCTGCAGGCGCTGCGTGTCTTGGGCGAGAGTTTGAGATTCAGTTTTCCAGCCTCTCCCACGTGGCTCGTTTGTTTTTGAGGGTGTTTCAAAGGGCTAGGTCCCCCAGTACTGCCCTTTTTTACCCTTTTTTGGGGGAGGGTTCCTCTACTAAAATAGACTACAGAAAAAAGGGTACCCTTATTTTAACCTCTCTACTGGAGGACCTAGAGGGAAGCCAAGAGGACCAACAATGCCATATTTGGGGGTCCCCAAAAAAACACAATATCAGTTCTGATTCCCACGACGTTTTTGAAGCCCTGACGGTTTTCCGGAATGCCTCCAAGCCACGGTGTTCCTAGATCCCTGCCCGTGAGTGTTTTTGAGGGAAACCGGCCCAGAATATGGGTTTGTGTCAAAATAGAGACCGGAAGCTTTCCTTTTGGTTGAATCTTTCAAACCACCCTGCTAGAAGAGAAGCAACCTGATGTCCAGGGGCTGTGCTTTGCACAGCAGCAAACTGCCCGGGGCCCCAGCCACCGGGAGACGGGGGCAGTGCACTCTCCGTAGGCAAGCAAAAGTCAAGAAGTAGGCTCGAACCTGTCTCCGGGGTAGACTTAGGATACATTTTGCCTTTTACCAGCGACTCAAAGGGAAGCAAGCAATAGAATGTATCTATAACTGGGCCTAAGTCTAATCATGGTCTGTTCCTCGGGGAGATGGGAGATGCAACACGGGTCAAGTCCAAGACGGCCGCCTCGCTGGAGGTGGGTGGGATTGGCCACAGGGGACGACAAATTTGGAATTCCATGAAGGAAGACCAAGCACGAGGAAACAGGGCCCCTCAACCCCCCCCCGTCCACCAGGTGGCCAGGGTTCAAGAGTACCTTATTATCTAATTGGAGTACTTGAACAAGAGAGGAATGCAGATTGTTCCTTCAATCTGGTGAGATCAATCTATGGGGAGTGGACAGCAGCTTCGGGCCACTTCTGCCCAGACCGCTTCGGCCAGGCAACAGGAATACCCTTAAGCACACATTCCCCTTAACAAAGGCAGGAACAGACCTGTTGAGCCTAGCTGTACTGGAAATACAATACTGCCCATGTATGTGTATATATATATATACACATGTTATACATGTTATACAGATTCGCGTGTTTTTGTGGCTAGGGCGGTGCTTTGGTTTGGCATTTGCATCTTTTGAGTCGACTTTGTGCCTTCTCAATCCCCAAACCCTGCCACAAAGCTGCCAAACCATACGCGAGCGCAAGTTCACCAGCAACAGCCAACACCTCCTTGCTTGCTGCGCAAATCTGATATGGCAGCATGACCAGAAACCATAAAGAATTCATGTACTTTTACGGACTGGAAACAGGTGTTATATTAAATGTTCATTTAACAGAAGCGAGAACACCATAAAGTTAAGCCCCGTTCTTGGCTACCCTGAAAAAAGAGACACCCATGTCACCCAGAGTTCATTGGACTGATTCAGCTGGCATGGAGAACTTGGCCGTTGCTCGCGTACGAATTGATCGAGCTTCATGCTCAGCTGCCGACAGGCAACACATGTTGTATCAACATGTTGTAACCCGCAAAGGCAGGTGTTGCTTTTCCGTCTGTTTTTGCCAGTCCCAAAATAGCTTCAAAGCAGACTTGTTGGAAGGCGGCTGCCAGAGGCGCACAGCTCCAGCTGGAAAGGCGGTTCAATGCGACGTGTGGGCGCTCGGTGTTCGAGCCGTTTCGGCTGAGGTGGACTGCGCAGCGGATCCGGAGAATATGTACTGCTGCGCCTTGGAGCCTTCTGTGCCAGAAGCCCAGCTGACAGTTCCATCGATCGAAGTGGCGGACTTTGGTTGGTATACACGAAGGGAAACCGCTATGAATTTTGGTTTGGGGACACGTTGGACATCGTTTAGGTGGGGATAACGTGTTCCACCAAATTTGGAGGTGGGGCGCCATTGCACGCCATTGCAATTCATGGCCAAACCCAAAGGGCGGCCGATTCCTATGTTCAGAACCCAGTTGAAGGCTATTGGTTTGGTTTCATATTGGCTTTGCATCAGCAAGTAAGTTTCTAGCTTGCCCATCGTGTCGATTGGGAGCAAACCTGTGTACGTTACCCAAAAAGAATCCCACCTTATGAACAGAACATGGCTGGTTCTAGTGTGCCTGGGATCCACAAGATTTGCCAGAGCGCCAGGAGCAAAAGTGTATATGGGCATTGGCTGAATGCACCCATATATTCAGGGATCAAGCACCAACTTTCAAAGTGGCGGGTGGTCAAATGTTTTGTTGTTTTGGTCATGAGACGCAACGATCCTATACCTGTGTCGTGGGCGAAAGTTACTTCAATTGTTGGAGAGTGTCGTGCTTCAATGAATGGGGATTGGATAACCATGGCCAGCATAGGGAAGCCATGACTATGGCTCTCACTTGGAGCTTTGATCACAGCACACAATACTGTGCACATGCAGGGGTGTTTTTGCGGGGTGTAATTACTCTTTTGCGTTTGGTTTCGAAGGGAAACCAAACGCCCCTTTTGCTTGGTCTGAAAGGGAACAAACAAACACCCGTTCAGGAGACGGGAGCCGCCTTTTCCTTTAACCGGACCGGGAACCGAAACAGGCCATCCATTTGGCTCGGGTTCGGGTTCCACAGCGTCCAGGCCATGCCTGCTCGAAGGCTTTGTGCGACAGACGACCCCGCGCCTGCCTCTGCGAGTCGGATTGAGTTTGGCCATATGCGAAAACCGATTGTTGCTCTCAAGAACTACTCTTTTCGGCTCAGCAAACCCAATATATGTGTGTGTTGTTTGTGAGTGCCTAGTAGTTTGCCAGCCTTCTTGAAAACTGCAGCGAACTTGAAATCCTTCTTGCAGCTTTGAAAGTTGTTGGCTGCGTAGCTCACCTGAAGTTATCTTGGGATGGCTAGGTGCTGGAAGCAGGTTCTTTGGGGGCTGCGTGGTTTCGCTTTGCATGGTTCGCTGGTTGCTTTGGACAGGTGCTTGGGGGAAGCAAGTTCCTTCACAAATTGCCATGCATGGCCCATGCCAAGCAGAAGGACAACAAACTCAGCCAATTTGACTGTTGACGTGCTATAGTCGGTTGGTTAGCCAGTTGGGCTCCTTTGTTTCAGGCTTAATTATTGGAAATCTCAACGCATTCAACGTGGCAAGGGGGATCAGCCAATTTTCAGACAAAAAGGGAGGGAGCACCGAAATGAATTGTATTTGGCAATCTGGTGAATAGTTAAATGATTGCTTCTATGTTTTCACACCGCAAAGTTTATCGCCTGAGGGTGTTTATTCCGGCACGCCTTTCAACATGGCGAGTACAACCGACTGGCAATCATAAATGTGGGTGAAATGAGGGCAATCCTGTCCATTGTTTGGTGGAGGTGTGAACAGCGGCTGTTGATGAATCACCGCTGGCTTCATTTGGCAGATTCCCTGGTCATTTGACAGATTTCCTGTTGACAGATTGCCTGGTTTGCCTCCATATATTGAGTAGAGGGAGGACCTCTAGGATTATTGCTTTGCTACTTGTGACCCGCTCCCAGCCCAATGGGGCTATGTGCGTACAAGCCAGAACCCGGCCGGCCGAGCCAGTGGCATGTAAGGCAAGCGATGAAGCACTTAGAGGGGGCAGTCGCAGAAAGAGTAGCAGTCCGAAAACGTATTGGTAGTCTCAAAGAGCCAACAGTTCAGCCAGCCACAACGGGACCGCAGGTTATAGTCCTTGTTTCCAATTTACCAGAGTTCCATTTTGGGTACCTATTTGTGACCCACACCCATATATTAGGCGCCCCAAATCCATGAGCCAGATGTACGTAGCTTGCTAAGGTGCAGCGCGGCCTGCCAAAAGCGCTACCAACACCTCGGCTCGCGGCCCAGAACTCGCAAGAACCGGTCCCTAAAATTTAAAGTGATTCCACTTACGTGCACAGTAGGTACCAGTGGCTCCATGTGTAGCAAACAATAAAATATACATTTTACAACTGGGCCTAACTCTAATCATGGTAACCAGTGCAGTAGGTACCCTGAAACACCCATGAAGGGAAACCGGCTGGTGAATTGCCTTAGCAACTGGGAGCCAGTGGGCTACTGTTCATGTTTGGGGTGCTGAGAGCTCAGGTGGTTGACGAGTCGGCTGTGTTCCATTTTCAAGGAATACCCATGAATTCGCAATTCTTGTTGCCTTCGTTCAGTAACAGCCGAGCGTCCCTGGATTGCTGTAAGCATCCGCTGGTCTTCAGTGAGTTTGCTCTTGCAGAAAAAACAATGTGCACTGTGTATCTGACAAGCGTTGCAGTGTGCCAAATCCAGCCATCCAAGGGTCCAAGTGATTTCAAAAGGCTACGTTCATCACCTTGCACCACTTAACGAAGCCCAACATTTCGAAGCCTAAAGCTTGACGCCCAGGCTATGAGTGCTACAAGAATTACAAGGCAACGTGCGAGATGGGCTTCAGCACCTCTTACCATCAGTCTGGCCCCAACCCTCAGCTTCCGGAGATCCGTGCTTAGGCCTCCCGACAGTGGAAGGGAAACCACCTTCTTTGAGGTTCCCATATGCTGACGAAAGCCTACATTCTACATCTCATCACGGGCTGATTTGCAGCTGCGGCGAGATCTGATTGGCGAACGCCAGGAGCACTTCCAGTGGGAGATCATGCAGAACATGTGCGATCCAACTGGCATCGTTGAGCGACGGAGCCCAGTTCGCTCATTCAGTGCCCATATGGGTGTGGCTCAAGATTAAAGATCCAGGGTTACGCAGGTTTTAGTCTCTGTTTCCATTTACCAGGGTTCCATTTTGGGTACCCATTTTTGACCCACAGCCATATCCCACACTGAAGTGACTGTTGCCTGATTCAGACTGGAGTGTAAGGGGAACTTGACATGGCGGACCTTCCACGATTGTGGATGCCTAGCGGCAAGGTGTAACTCAGGTGCCCCAAGTATTTGTTCGAGTTGTATGTGGCCAGTTGGCCCAGGGTTTACCTTCTTCTCATGGCAAAACACCAAAGGCCCTCGACATGTAGAATCCATTTTCTGTCATGTCTTTTTGAGGCTTGTTGCCCTTTTTTGGCTGTTGGTTAACAGAGGAATGAAAAGGACAACCACCTATTTTGAGACAAGCCCATTGGTGTCTTTGTGTGGCGACCCCTGTGCTCCCATCACTCACAAATCCCTGGGGGCATTTGAGCTCCGGTGATCCTTTGTCATATCCATCCCACTGGAGCAGACTTCTGGCTATCCCCAGGCCTCCAACAGCGCTGTGTCTTCCTTCTTTGACAGGACCAGGTTTTGTTGTATGACCAACGGCGGGCGGGGAGATGGGGGGTGGAGAAAGAATAGGTGCGCTTCCATGTTAACTACGTAGTTGGCGACAAAAGGGAGGCATTGTTTTTATCCCCACGGCCGCGTATCCGAGGTTCAAGGCAGACACCACCAGCTATAGGTCGGGCACCTGGCGCACGGGAGTTTTCGTGTGGAAGCCTCAAGTGGTTGCTCAACAAAACTCCGAACACCCCACCGGAAATATGATGTCCAAAGGCTCCCAAAATACAAAAACTCAGCCCCAAGGTAGACCTACAAGCAAGAGGTGGTTGAATTGTAGGAGGGGAAGGTCTTAGGCTTAAGTTCACTTCGAATGCAATCAAATCATGGAAAATTATAGAAGGTGGCTTGCGCTGCTGCATGGACAAGGCCGCTTGAAGCGAAGCCAAGGAGGGTCGTTTGTTGGCGATCATTCTTGTTTGCTGATTTCGAGATGGAACCAAAGGCTCCGCTTGAAGAAGGTGGCAAGTTTGGGGAGTGTTCATTTTGGCGAGACCAAGAGGATACCGAGGCCACGTTTCTTTCTTCTTCTTGTTCTTTTGTTGTTGTTGTTTTTTTTTGAGGGGGGGGCCGGGGGCAAGTGTTGAGCATGGTTTGTAGATTCTTGGGCACGGTTTAGCTGGCTCGGAGTACGAAGGCCGAACTACGGGCCCTACCACAATTCGGGCACCGGTGGGAGCCTAAGCACCGCATGATGGACGAAAAAATGTAGCTGCCACGGTTCAGGGTTTTCATGCCTGTTTAGGAAATGGCAACCCTTACGTCTCTTTGCATGGTTTCCATTTGGTTTTCCATTTGATGACGTATGTTGAGTGCAAGCGCTGGGTTTGAATCGGAATGCACCGGGCCCCTTGAGTGCTTGCTTTGCACCTCTAGGATGACAGGGAGGAGAACTCTTTTTCCAAGCAACATGTTTGGGGCCCTTTCGTGATCTCTAAATCAATCGACAAGATACCCTCGTACGACCAGTTCACCGAACACTGTCATAACTTTCTTTCCATTTAGGAAACGCAAGGCCCCACCAGGCCAGGTTCGAGAGAAATCTTATCCTTCTGATCGAAGGGGTTCTGCTTGAATGGTTCGGATCGAACCATTCTGGTATGGGCCCTGATGATCAGCCCTGTGATTGGACGGATAAAGCTCTCCAGTGTGGTTTAGCCAGTATTTAACCTTCATCCATTTGAACTGCAAAGTTGATTTTCTCCACAGGTTTAGCCAGTATTCATGGTTGTTCACCCGTCGAAACGGGTGCGAAATAGATTTTCTTCACCCACAGTACTATAGCATACTACAGCCACTATTGGACCTTTACAGTACCTTTGGAACCCACCCCCCGCCCGTGCGCGGCGCGCACCTTTGAACGCCTTCGAGCGCCTAGTTGCCACTTCAGCCGCCGGCCCTCGCTGGGCACCTGTCGCTCTGCTCGGCGGATTCCTGGCCTTGGCTTGAGGCGGGAGAAGAAACGCCGGGGCTTGAAATGGAATCCCTGTACTGTTGACCCCATATTGAATACACCCCTGTTTATGAATATGGGGGGTCTTCTCCTCTAAAAGTGATGAATCCCCACTAAATTAATAACAGGGTGTATTTTATATGGGGTCAACATTATCCAACCTGGAATGGTTCTAATTTCCGAGAAATAAGACTCATGGTACGCTGAAAGGAACCTTCTCCACTCCTTTTTGACCGGCTTGAACCTCTTTTCCATTCTTGAGGATCGCGCATCACCTGTCGGGCCTAAATGTGGTATTTGTTCTGTGTGCAGCCAAGGTTGAAAGTATGTGTCATGCGCATGAATGCGGGCGTGCGCGTTTGCATGTGTTTGTGTTTGTGTTTGTCTGTCTGTTTGTTTGTTTGTCTGTCTGTCTGTCTGTCTGTCTGTGCGTCGGGGGTGTTGGCCATGTCACGGCAGGCACAAGAGCGACAGTGAGCCATGACGCCTGCCATCAGCAAGTGTGGCATGTCGCTTTTTGTCGTGCGCAGTGGCATGAATGCGAATTCAACTTTTCAGGCTGAGATTGGGGCTGGAACTGTATGCGAGGTTGGGCAAGTCTGGCTTACACATGACCCTCGCCCCCTGCAAAAGACAATCAGGAGCACTCCTGATCCCAATGGGAGTCCAAGCCTTCGGTTGCCTTGCCACTCACTTGTCCTACATGTAACCTTTTGGATTGGCTCGAGGTGTTGACAGTTGAAAAGCTCAACCCTTCACACCCTTGCATTTCTAGTTGGGCAGGTGAGTGTTTTATCACCATCGAATTCAAGTTGCGTCCAAGACGCCTGGAAGTAGTTCGAGTGCCGCGGACCTTTGGCTTTGATGCTCGACGCAACCCTTGTGAACGAGCTCGGCTGATCCGCGAATGTGTGCGGTGCAAATGCCTCGGGATTGTTTGGGCTTCTATTTGGTCGGTTTGTTGGGGAGCTGACTTGGACGAAGAGCCTTGACCTAGGGAGCAATCAATGTGTTGCTTGGTTGACAACATGATTTTGCAGGGAGACGGATCCACCAATGAACCAGATTGAACCACGATGCAGGTGTTGCTGCACGAGGTGGAATCGTGGAATCAGTCAAAGGGTCAACATGGATCTACACTACCACAGTTCTGATAGAGTTTTTGACGGTCAGACGCATGAGTTGTATTGAATTGGGATTTTTCAGAATTTGCAAGAGAGGCAGTTTCCTTTGAACAAACATTGCAATGCTCAATTTTCGCGACCATGATGTGAATGTGCCGGGGTCTTTTGGGGTGGGAACCTCAGCGGCATAAGCTACATCGTTTGGTGGCTCGGGTCCTTGCACGTGGGGATCGTGCTGCGGATCCTGCCATTCATTTGCCAAAACTTGCCAGAGCTGCCCGGGTGATTTTGGACATTTCTATGACCTGCAGCGCGTTCCAGTCGAGCGCGAGCGGCGCCAGACTACGAATGTACATGTATGGTCTCAAACGATGAGAGCTGCTTGTCTGAAGGTTAGTACTTTTAGTGCAGAGCGCACGTTTGCTTTTTGCATATATGACTGGTCCTTGACAGAAATTGGAGAAAGGGTCTGAGTTGCATTCATGTGATGGCTTTCAGCCACAATTCAGTGGAAGGGAAGCTGGATCTTGCAGCTAAGGCGATTCTTCGTGTGAAGAAGGTTACGCGGGGCACTTGAGCAGGCGCGGAAACGCCGGGACAATGGAACATGATTCTTCAGGCCAGAGTGACCAAGCCGTAGGGTGTTTGACATGCGAAGACAGGCTGTTGCTTTCTTTTGGGAACATGTTAACATGCTCCTTATAGCCCTCACTGTTGAGAGCAATCGTGGGATTTCAACAGACATCGTCCCGGACAATTTATCCACCTTCGGTATTTGTATGCTGGCTGTTGTTTTGCGTTTGACGCCTGTCAACTCGTATTTTGTTCTGCTGACCTGATAGAGATGCTGTGTAGCCTTCCCAAGTGAGCATTGGAGCCTGAGGCTTTGCTCTTGAGCCCGTGCTAAGGCAGCCCCAGAATTCCCTTCCATCCCTTTTCCCCGTCCCTTGCATTGCCACGTTCTCAGAGTCTTACAGGTGATGTTTTGACATAAGGGCCTTTACCCAGACTCAGCGCCAGTTTCGAAACCTGGCTCCGCAGCCTGCAGCGGGTTTTCGGGAGCCAGCTGCTTCTACTCCTGCTTCTCGCCAGCAGGAGTGTTTCTCAAAATTCGTCTCCCAAGCCAGGCGGTTTTGACCATCCAGAAAGAGGACCCTACTTTGAGAAACCCCCAAGTCTAGGAATTGAGTTCCCATGGAGCCATTGTTCTTCCTTTCAGGGCGGTGTGGGTGTTTTCGGGCTTTATGGAAAGAAGGGGACAAGGACCAAACGCCATATTTCAACATTTTGGGGTAATTGCCCGTTCTGGGGTGTTTAAAAGCGAAACAAAAGGGGAGCCAAGGGTCGGCTAAGACAGAACCCTTGAGGCGGCTGTTGGCCGACGATGTCAGTTGTGCTGACCGAGGAAAGGGGTAGCAAAGCGACTTCACTCAAGATCTTGTTGTTGAGGCTAACAAGTGAAAGCTTCGCTGTGTGTAGAAGGTAGAAAAGAGCAACTGGAGAACATCGTTGGTCTACATTGGTTTGTGTAGGTTCATGAGCTAGAGAGAGTTCTGATGAACTAGAGCGAGTTTATTGGGCGTGATCAACAAGAAAGCCAATACCCTCAGGGGAGGACGTTTGGGACGGTTCTTTGTCCTGATGCCCTAGTCAAGTTCCTCATGTGATAAGCAGGACCAAAAGTGGCAAGCTGCGTCCAAAGCACATTATCTTCCTGTGCCATTCATGTAAACTTTAGATTCGTTGGAGGACTATACTCCTCACCTTGTGCCCGGTATGGCCACCAATTTTCAATGAGGAGGTAGACCATGCTTTCAGCAAGGGCATCCGCATATCGTCTCAGAAGTACATTATGTGTACCATGGTACTTACCTTTGTGTTTGGTTGTCCAAAGCCCTTAAGTTGTTAGAACACGTTTCTGTCTCACCAGAACAGTTGTTTTGCGTCAAGTATGGATAGCAATTGCAGCGGATGTCATTCGGGTGGTTGCACCTATCATGGTGTTAGGATGTTGCCAATGTTGCTGTGAACTAGCACAGGTTGATAAATCAGCACCTTGGTGATTTTGTCCACAGTATGTGTTCATGTATTGCTGCATGGGGGGGGCCCATACAAATCCCTTCGAGATAAGCCCAGTTTGGAGGATGTGAGGACGGACATCATTGGTTGCCACGTAACTCGGACAATTGGGATTTGTATACTTGATTCTGACGCAACCCCCGCGTTGGCGTGGAGATGTGCTTTCTCTAGCGCGACTCAGTATGGATTGCGGAGGCGCTCGAGTTCCGGCTGCCATTCCACCTTGCTAGTGCTCAGTAGGAAATGTGGGAATGAACCCGGGGGTCCCCTTAAAGAGGAAACCACGAGGGATGGTTTTTAAGGGTCATTCCCTCATTGTCAGATCAAGTCTCGACATGTTCTTGGTCAAACCGTGAGTCAAACCCCCTTGCGAATCATCCCGGCAGCGAAACACCAACTGTAGACTCTCATAGAGATCCGGAAAGCGGATGGCATGCCGCTGAAAATTCGAAGGCTCTTTTTTTTCAACAAGAGCGGGTCAAGATGGTGCTTTCAAACAACTGCGGGTTTTGCCTTAGGGACTGGGACAGTTCAGGGCGACAAGGCCTTCGCGCAGTGGAAATTTGAGCCCTGGGTTGATGCATTGCGCTGGCCCGTCTTCGGTTCATGGTGTGACTGTTCATTCACTTCCCAATACGTTTGTGCCATTCGGTTTTCTTCGGCACTTCACCATCCCGCAACAGACACCCGTGTGGATTTAGGAGAAACTGGGTTGAGCGGTCCTTGGATGGTGAAAGGCGAACCAGGAAGCAAACCACCTGGAGGTTTCCCCAAGAGACCTTGGCAATCGGCTCATGGCTTCAGTTCTTTCTTTGTGTTCGGCTGCCAATGACTGGCCTTGACAATCCAGATACCAAACCTGTGAACCCCTTTTCATAGCCCGAATCCAGCCGGATGGGCTCAATTCAAATCGACCTTTGCTTGCGGTTCAGGCCCAAATTCGAGTTGGGCCTTGTCTTGCTTCATGTCTTTGGCTCGGATCAGATCCTACCCCAGACCCTCTGGATTTCTCCCACGCCCTGCGAGGTGTGCGGTTCAGCACCTTCTCAAGGGCCTGGCCGGCTCCCTCGGGGCCAGGGCCACGCCCTACCTCTTCAAGGCCTACCATGTGCCGGCGCAGGAGATCTCTTCAGGGGAAGGTTGATCTGAAGGTCCGTAACACATGGGGTGTTGTTTTTTCGTGTTTTATTTTTTTTGCCACACAAGGCATGGCATGGTTGGCTATACCCTCTTTGGCTTACATGGCCTTGCCAGTTTCTGGCTGACCTTGCCTCTGCCAGTATAATACATGGGGTGACACCAAAATGATGACTTTCAACACACGGGAGAAGTTACCCCTGATTATTTCGGGGAATGTGGATTAACCCCCAAATCAACCCTACGTTAGCTCCCCTAATCCTAAAATCCCCCTTTTAAAGTTCACCTTGTGGTTGCCCACGCAAGTGGCCAACTTGCGAGCTTGGCTGAACCTCCAAATGGGTGCTTCAATGTTGGAGGCGCTCGTTTTGGGGTTGCTTCGAAACCAAACCTAATCACCTTCTTGCTTTTTGGAGGTTGAGTTTCCTTCGTTCGCCTTGTCCGGAAGTCCACTCGTTCGGAGGGGGGATAGATCCGTGCCATGTTGAGGCCCGGGAAGCCGTGCCTTGGCCATTGCAGCCTTCCGGCCCAAAAGACACGTCACAGGTTAACGGGCTCCAGCATTGCCTTCGTCTGCCAAACTAACATTTCAGGCACGAGCTGCGTCAAGGGCATGATCTGGAAATGAAACATGCGGTTGCATTATTCTTGTGTATGATTGCAAAGAATGTACCAGTTTGCTTGCAGACATGACACAGCCAGGACATTCAAATCTGGAAGACCTGCATTTTCTCGCCCTACATTCTGAAGCCCATTATTGGATTGGTGAGCGACCTCTTTCCGGTGGGAGGATACCACAAGGCTCGGAGGAGTCTTGCCAGACTTGCTCAGCACAAGATACTACGCGAATCAAATCAACGCTACAATCAACAGGAAACGAGCGCATCTGTTTGGGAGGGGAGACATTGACGCTGGACCGCTGGATGCCCGAAGACAAACAGATCAAGTAGGGGAACCAGGGAACCCTGTCATTTGCCACCCCAGGGTTTTGGATGTGTTTAATATGGACAATTTCAAGGGGAAGCATAAGGATAATTTATTCATTTGGAGGGTTCCAGTTGGCCAACTGTTGGCAGGGCTCCTCATCAGTTTAGTCAAGGGCCAAACAAAATCTGGTCAGCCAACTCAACTGGTCAGTTGAAGCAGATGCTGGTACCGAGTCCGAAATCTGGCAGGGGCCGTACATGCTCTTGGGGAGCCTTGGTGGCATGGCTGCCGCTGCTGGCATCGGTGCCGCGAGATTGCCTTTGCATCTCTTCATCTTCGGCCTCTTTCTCTTCGAGCTGATGATTTGTGCCTTGCTTTTTGCCAGTGCAGTGGGCACTCGTAGATACCCCTTTCATCTAGATCCCTTTGGGACTTTTTGGTCGGCGCACTGGTTGAAGCTGGGCCCCACGAGCTTGAGAAGCAGACAGAATAGACTGACGTGTTTGGCTTTATCCTGGGCAAGAATAGCCCACCCGAAAACCGAAACGTCGCATGGGAAGCAAAAACACAGTTTTCTCCCACGTGGATTAAGCCGAGCCGCTTATCTACACACTTGTACTCTTGCACGCATAAACGGGGATTTGTGGTGGGGCATCCAAAATAGGCTCTAGAACAAAGACAAGCTGGTCGTGTGCAACTTGTGATGTGCCCTTTTTTGAGGTACTGCGCAATCCATTATTGGGGGGTTCCCCATTGCAAGACAGCAGACTGACATGTTCAGAGTTGGGATATTGTTTGATATTGTCCATTGCCTTGGGTTACTCGTTTCAAACGGCACCGCATGTTTGAACATCATGATACACCATGTATACCCTGTAGAAGTCTTCTTGCTTCTCCCCTGTTTCAGGACGCATTGAGCAGGATTGCTTCGCACAATGCAGCCTGAAGCTGGAAGTTCTTACGTCAATCTACACCAAATGCACTACGCATGTTTGTTGTCGACATTTGATGGCGTCTTACATCTTGGTCCTCTACTGAAAGGCTGATGCCAGAGAAGATCCACTTTTTGGGGCTGACACTGACAAGCGCCATTAGTCAACACCAACACAAAAGCAGGCTGACCTGGGACTGACATGATTTGAGTCCGCCTCAGGCACTGACGACTTGCTGACAGAGGCTTTGTATGCTCGCGAGATGCAGGCAAGTGTTTTTTTGTTTTTCCATGCTTTAGCATTGTGTTTACCCTTTCCGCATGGTATGTGAAGTATATGTTGAGCGGCCTGAGTCTTTGTCACAAGCCTTGGTCTCTGTTTCAAAGGTATTCCCACCATGATTCCTTGCAGTTCCCACCATGATCCCCATGATTGTCCCCATTACCAGCATCGTGCTCCTCCTCCTCCTCCCCCCCCTCCCCCTCTTTCTCTTACTCTTCAGCATCATCCCCGGCATGGTCTCATCATGCCGTTGCTTTCCATCTCACGGGTGTGCCCGTGAGCGGGCTTCGCAGGACCACCCCAAGCACGGGCAGAACCTTCTGACTTTTGCGCCTCAGCGAATCAGTCGCTCAATGTCCCCAAGGGCGGCGCCTACGTCACCTTGTTGGAAAGGCCAAGTGTTTTGTTGAGCATGTTGAGCTTATTTTTTACTATTGATTTATTACAGGAGATCGGGAGCAACTGTTTCTTTTGACGTGCCATGGGATGCGTGAGTTTAAGCCATGTTGGGTCAAAGAGTGCAGTGCATTCGGTTATATAGGATATTATAATATATATATATATATATGTATGTGGGGACATACAAAATGAAGACCGCTATTTTGCCCGTACCGCTGTTTTGAAGGTGGCTTATATGATCTTCCAGCACCCCAATATGAATCGAAAGTACAGGCCTGTTGCTGCGTGGGACGCGTGTGAGCTTGAGTTGGAACTGACTGAGGTTTTTGCTGGAATGTCACTATGTTCGCTTCTGGGCAATCTGTCCTCTGGCTTTCTGCTTACGTGGCTTGGCGCAACAATTGTCCACAGTGCGACTCAGTTTACTTGATCAAAATCATCAAACTGTTGTATAAACTTATCCACAAACAAGGTCACGGCGCCGGCAGCGACCGTGGGGCCCCGCAACACCATCATTGCATCGGTCAAAGCCAAACCTATGGCAATTACCAGTGCAGTTTCAAGAGTGGCAAATTGAGGCATTGTCTCACGTGCTGCATTTTGCAGCACTGTTATCTTATTTTCTGCCTTTCCCAATAGAGCGCAGCACACTTGCTGCCACGCTTCCCGCGCAGCTTCTTTTTTTTTCGGCTGCCGTACTTGCCTGTTTGAGCGGCTCTTCTGTCCACACAAGTGGAAGACTACGCCTATCAGAGCTTCTTGTTCTTCTGTTGAACAGTCTATCGACTCAAGCCAGTGCAAGCTGACGCAAGCACAGCTGGGTTCTGGTGGGTTGAACGCCAATGAAAGTTGACCATAACAAACGTTGGGTTCTGACTCTGGCAAGGCAACCTGCACACACACACACACAACAGATCTGTGGGCATGATGCCCAAGTGCCACAATCAGCTCAAATGTCATTGCACACAGGTGTATGTCCGTCTATGTGACTATGTGTGGTCAGTCTGTTTGCGCGAAAAAAGAGGCCTGTGCATGGACAGCGTGCGCAAGGACGGTGTGTGCACAGAGTTTCCGGCACGCATGGCCGGCGTGCGCGTGCTGTTTGTCTGTCTGCATGCGTGCCTGCATTGGCTGACGCAAAGTCAACATGAACGTGAAGGCAAGTCTTGCATTGCACACTCTAGGCATTCTCTCGATATTCTTCAGAGAGCCCTTATACAGCTGTGGTTTGGATTTCAGGCATTTTCAGGCAGCAGCGAAACATCCCGATAAAGCTGAATGTGCTGAGAGGCGCGCGCCAGCCCAAAAATAAAACTGCCCGAAATTGCGCAGGAAAGCACCCCGATTGCGCCATCCCCCGTTCTGGGCCGCCAGCAATCTTTCTATCGCGTCATCTCTGTCTGTCAAAGACTCTGTCCGCGGGCTCCGTTAGTGTCTTGAGTTGTATTTATAGGGCCGGTACCTGCCCAAAGCCCACAGTAAGCCAACACTGAACCTACCCTGTTTCCCACAACCCAGAACCCACCACCAACCCCACCCTCAACGTTGAATATAATTACCTGAAGTGGACCCTGAACCCGAACCACCCCAAACCAACCCTAATCCAACCCGACGCTGCCCTAGCCCGCCCTTGACCCACCCTTAACCGACCCGAAGCTTCCCACAAGCCACCCCAAACCTAGCTTAAGCCTGCCTGAAGCCTACCCTTAGCCCACCTTAACTTGTAGGTTTATTGTTTGCCCTTTCGTGCTCGCCAGGCTGTGCCAGGGTTAGGCTAAGGCCACACCTCAGCCGAAGACCAAAGGTAGATCACCCAAGTTTGAGCTTCCCCTTTGATTTTTCTGATAGACCGTGACTCCGTGACAACTAAAGATGCACTTTGCACTTTGTCCGGTTTGGCTCTCCACCGTAGAAGGAAGTTGTACGAATTCTGATCCCTGTCAAGACGGCAGTAAAACTAGATTTCTCTAAAGGTTTGGCTAGATTTTGCCACCGGTAGTGGGTGAACGACAAAGGTGGCAGGGGTCATTCCCACTTGTCCAAGAGCGAACTGTTTGGTTCTAGTCATTCAGTGCCATACCACCAGCCATGTTCCTTCCAGTTTTGGGTTCCCTTCTGCCAGATATGGAATCACTGGGATATAGTCAGGGGTAATTTCTGAGGAGCTGTGAGGAAAACGAGATCAGATCACCCATGAAGGTTAATTGGGGATTCCTTGTCTCCAGTTAGTTTTGATATCAGGGAGGCACCCACATCGTGGGTTTTCTGCCAGAAGTAGAAGCCAGGGCTTGTCAGGTGTGGTGTGTCTCTTGTTTGAGGGTGCCTTACAAAGGGAAACCAAGCGGAAGCCCTAAACAATTAAAATAGTCGAGCCATATGTTCCACCTTCTGGGAAATCTTCGGGCTCGCAGGTCGCTCGGCGCCCACGGTGTCTTCCTGTTCGCCGCCCTCTGCAGCGTGCCTGCGGTTTTGGCAGCGAGCGGATTTCCCGAGGTGCAGCAAGGCGCGCGCGCGCGCACGGCGCGTGCGGCGTGCAGGGCGCGAGGCAACAAATGTCCCCTGAGCAAGCGAGCTTGAAAAGCAGGTTTATCGCCAAAAGTGAAGGATGCCTGTTCAAACAAGATCTAAGATCATGAATCATGGGCGAGCTGAGCCAATGACCTTGATTACAAGAGCCGTCCTGGGGACATGATGAACTGAACTAGGTCCTCTTTTGAAATTATGCAGTCTTCAAGTTCACTGAGTATGTGCCACAATCAAATACGTGTATCATACGCGGTTGGTGCGTCAAACCCAGAAAGTCCGGCAAGATCTTCCGAGCTGCACAGACACGGCCCGAGATCTTTTGGAGCGCCTCGTTTTTTGGTTCTGGGAATGTTTCCGTCGTTCGTTAATTGGGAAGGCTTGGTACATCTCCGGGAAGCGCCGACAAGTCGAAATGACCTCAGCGCCAAGGGCGCGGGGCATATAGTCCTGGTGTCATGGTCCTCGTTGGCAGCCTGATTTTGGACCTGCAGGTGTTTGAGCCATGATCCAGCCGAGAAGGCGACGCTGTTTTGCGATGCAGTTTCCGGATTGTGAAATGATCCACAATCAAAACCTGAGCAGGTGAACTTGTGTAAAGCACCAGCCAGAAGGCGGCGCAGCGGCCATCCAAGGTTTTGGGTAGAACATTGGGTACCCAACTTGACGGAAACTCAACCGGAAGTTCCGGCTCAAGTGACTGAAGTGGACGGTGCTTGGCTGCGGGAGGCCCTGAAGCGATCCACGCCAAGCGCGCAGAATTTTGGAGGCAGAAGGACATGGGTATATAGAAAGGGTATACATAGTGCATATATATATATACATCTATGTATTATGTTATGTCAGGATGTATAATATATTCTAATATAATATTCTATAAATCAGTCTATGTATACATGTTACATCTGCTCACTGAAGTTGTCCACCTTTGCCACTGTGCTCCACGCTCATTTGCTACTATCAACTGCTTTTCCACATGCCTTCAAACTGCAATCAACTTTTGATGAAAATAGTGTTTGGAAAGGAGTTCTTAGGGCGCCATGTCTTTTCAGCGCCATGTCATGCATTAAGGCTCCTTTCATGCATAAATAATCAATCGAGATGGACATCCAAGTCCATTTGCACTGCAATTAACTTTATCTTGGAGAGCAACTCCTGCTGAAATCTACATGGCATAGACATTCAATTGCAATTATTGCATTCTTCAATTCTAGCTGAAAGACTTTTCGGAAATCTCATGAAACAGGATGTGCATTTATGCTAGAACTCACATAGTAGTTACATCTGGATTATTCCCTTGTTAAGTTCCATGAACGGAAAGTATGAATTCGTTAAATTCTACTTGAATATGGTTAGAAGTCTAAATGGAACGGTATACGGAAGCCTTGACAGGAGCTTTATGAAGCTCCTTCTACAGCTCCTTGTTCGGCTCCTTAATGAACATGCTCCTTAATGAAATGGCACCACATAAGGCTCCTTGTGAAATATCCTTGTAAAGCTGCTTACGAGACTTGTCATAAAGCTCCTTACAAAGCTCTTTATCAACCTTGTGACAAAGGTCTTAAACGACTCCTCACAAGGCTCCTTACTGGGCTCCTTGTACAATTTCTTGTAAGATGCTCGCGGATCTCCTTGTCAGGCTCATTCTAAACAGCTGCATTCAATGCTCCTTATAAAGCTCTGGAGAAGTCTTACAAGTAGCCTTATGAGGATATAAACACCGGTGGACGTATTGCTCGTGTTGTTCTTTCCTTTCAACCTTGTCTATATGTCCCTTCAAACCTTGCTTGAGCTCACTTTTTGTTCCGGCTTAGGAATCAGCAGATGTATGCATGAAGGGTTGAACGGCCGACCCTGTTTGGGGACAGGCGTAAACGACACCAGGGTTCTACTTTTGTGGGTGCCAAACTTAGTTAGCGCATGCAAGAAAAAAGAGACCTGCTTTGGCAACCATCATGGGTTTCTGCGTAAATGGGCGATTGCAATGATTGTTTCCCTTCAGTTTCCCTACAACGCAACAGGTATGCTCGGAAAAAGGACAAGCCCACTTGTCATGTTGCCATCTGGCAGGAGGCGTGCGCCTTGGCTTTGGTGGTGCTGTGCGCGTCTTTGAGCATGAACCTCAGCCATGTCAGCATTTTGCCAAATCATTTTGCCTGGCTAGTACTTACTTTCAGGTCTTGGAGGTTTAGGAAAAACATACGTCTACATTCGCTCACGAGCAACTTGTCCAGACAAGGAGCCTAGTGGCCATTTGCACCAAAGATCCCGCGGCCAATGCGGGCACCGCGGCGCTCGCGGCCTTGGCGGTGGGGGTTAGCTTTAGCACCTCGACCGGATGGATCACTTCGTCGCTGGGTGGTTTCGGGCCCCTTTTGGCCAAAGGAAAGCCAACATTAGTTTTTAGTGTCCCCGCTGATTTGATCCCCGCTCCCACGCACGATCACGCGCACACACGCACAGACACAGATACATTGGTGGGAGGATGGCTAGCGGGGAGCTTTCTGTATGCTTTGGCGCGGCCAGATCCGCTATCAGTGGTGCTTTCCGAGGCGTGGTTCTGTCACCCGTCATCGCCAAGTTCTCAGTCTTCACCCTGCTGCAAACCTCTTTGCATTTGTCGGCCAGTGCTCCCGCCTTTTACTTCCTGACGGATTCAGAAGAGGATTTCTTTTTTTGGGGGGGGCAAAGCCAGCGCTCAGATCCTTCTACCTGGTTGGCACACTTTAAAAAGGTTGGCAGGTGTCTTCATGTGGGCCAGAGGGTTTACACTGTTGGTTCCACCGGTCTGGACCAGAAACTGGTCTGCAGACGTTGAATTTGCACACAGCCGTTCGCAGGAGTTCCCGGATGGCCCGCATTTCTCTAAGCTCTTCTACAACACCTGCCTGGGCTGCGTGGGGGGAGTCTTTACCTTGCTCGGTCTGTACACCTACAATCGCTACAGCTCAACCTTGTCTTATCGCAAGGCCCAATTGTTGCATGGCAAGTTCGGGCATGGATCTGGCTCGAAGGCTCTTTTTTTTTGGGGGGGAGGGGGGCAGGGTGCCACAAGCACTTCGCTTGAACGTGTTGAAACAAGGGACTGACTTGATTTGGTTTGGGCACATGTGCTCGCTGCTTCTGGTCCTTAGAGCAGCCTGGAGCGCGTTTCAAGCAGTAAATTGAAGATGCTGCCAGCGGCTGCGATGGGTGGGGGGGAAGCATATGGTGTTTTGATCCACTGGGACATGAACACCGGGTGAGAAAGTACGGTGAGACTGGGAAACGACATTTTCACCCCGGTTGAGAAGGATTTCGCGTTTGATCTACCTCCCGGTTAGCAGGGGAAGGCGGCCCAGCAAAAAGAGGCAGAGACACTGTTCGTGGCATGTGAAATTGGTTTGCACTGGACAACACAAGCAGTTGTTTGCCTTCCTGTTGAGGCTTGTGAAGAACTCGCCGTAAATCAGTTTGTGCCGCTTGAGCAGCGCCCAAAACCGGTTCCCATTCGCCATTTTAGTAGGTTCTAGAAGTTCTGCCTGGTTTAATTGGGGTGATGGTAGGACCTGTACAAACCGCTAGGACCATCCTGGTAGAACCAAAATAAGCTTGGGCGCTGCTCGCTTCACTTACTTGTTGAGCCGCTGCTGAACTCTAAACTTACAGGTTGGTGACTCCGGCATATTGGCTTGCGCTTGAGGTCAACTCATTTACTCCAAATACCCACTTGCCCTTACCAGAACTCCAAACCACCCCAGAGCTTCTTTGGGCCGAGACCCCAAAGCTTCAGCTGTTGGGGAGCTATAATCACTTGGGTTTTTGAAGCAAAGCGACGCCCTGGGCAGGTTATTGTTGTCTCCAACACGGCCTTCTCGTTGCTACACATGACGGACATGGTGCTCTTCTCGCGCTTGAACCTTCGATTGGGGATTCCGGATTATGTCTTTGCCTTTGGCAATCAGCGACCTGAGCTGGATATGGGAGGCTCTCATTTGGCGGTCCACCTTTTGTTTGGTACCCAAGGTAACTAAACGGAAACCAACCATTTGAGAGGGACCCTCTGTGTTGAGAAACACCAATACGGGTAATACTTTTTGTTTTAAGCGGTTGGACTATGGCTTATTGGGGACACAAAACACCGAGGAGTCACTAATTGTTCCATGTTGTTTTGGGGTAGAAGTAATTCAGATCGTGCCTGATTTAGAGCATCTTGTTGTTGTTTTGTTTACGCGGGTGAACCACACCCATACTATGGGTAGATTAACTTGTGAGGCTCTTGAATTTACTTACTTGTGGTGGTTCGATACGCACAAGCTTAAGACGGACAGCCAACCACAAAGCTCAAGGTGTTCATGGTTTACTCATGTCAGCTTTGGATCAAGCTGATGATTATATCGGAGACCGCCCCTCATTTTTTGGAGGCGAAGTTGCCTCTGCAATTTGTAAGGGATTCCCGTATTGTGGCCGGCTAGTGTCAAGTCTCAATCTGTCAAGTTCAGGCAAGCGGTGAAAACAAGGTTTCCGAACACTAAGCTTTTCATGTGTAAGGCCAACGAAAACTGCTCGTGGTGCCCAAAGTCTACATTCAGGAAGTTGTGGGTTTGCCTTTGGGCATTTCTCCAAATTGCAAGCCAGACTCAATGCAACAGGCTGAAGCAGCAGGCACAGGAGCTCACATGTTCCTTCTATGATCACAGCTTTATTTGGCATTGGGTTGAATTACCCCCCAATCCATCGTAAAGATTCATGCCCTTAAGTACGGCAACTCCGGGTGAGACCGGACTTTAGATTCTAACTCGCGCGCAGGCTTCCCCTCTTGCCTCTTCCTGAGTGGGAAGATGGGGAGCAAGATTCAAAGTTGTCTCTTGATCATGTTTGCTTGGCTGCCCTATGTGACTATTGACCTTTCAAGCTTTTGTAGCCGGCAACAGTTGAGCTTTGCGCAGCGGGTCCAAGACCAACGCGGCTGTTGTACTCCCCTAGCTTCCCTCAGCTTGTGCCATGTGATTGCAAAAGGAACCAAAGGAAAACCCTCCGAGGTTCCCAGAGCAAAAAACTCAAACCGAGACACCGAGGTCGCTGGGGACGCTGGTGTACCAGTGGCTGTGGATGCCGCAGGTGGCCCTGCTCTCCCAGCTGTGCCCCAAGGGCATGGAGGCCTAGCGAGCGAACCACTTCCCTTGGACCTGCGCCA